TATCATGGACTTCCTAGTCTCTTCTGGGGGGACCAGCACAGCTCGACATCCCTTGTCCCATAACCCCAAACGCCGTAGTCCCCAAATCACCTCCAAGTCACCCTGGCCTGATAATGCTGAGTTCCCAGCCCTTGTTTAGCCTGCCAGCAGTTTCACACAACCTACGTAGAACAGTGATCATCCTGGAAAACGGAAAGCAAACCTGACTCGCACTAACAGCTAGACTTGGTATTCTCCTGGTGAATATAAACCATTTCACAGTAAACCAGTTTCAGACAAGACCACTCTGTGTCCCTCATGAAATAAGATTAAAACAAACACACACAAAAACAAGATCACAGTGATCATGACTAAACACAGACCAAAAAAGAACATTGTCCAAACCAGAAGCATGACCAAACATTCCTCCTTTGTGTGTGTGTGTGTGTGTGTGTGTGTGTGTGTGTGTGTGTGTGTGTTTGTTTTGTTTTGGTTTGGTTTTTTGGCTGATATGAGTGGCTACGGCTTCTTTATCAATTACAGTTTTATCCCCACATTATTTCCCCTATTTTCTAGACAAAATTATTAAGCTATCCAATGATAGAATTACCTCTCTTTTGGATAGCATTCACTCCAGAAAAAAAATCCTACCTCCTTAACCCCTTCACAAAATTACCTAACATGATCCCAAGTCCCACAGATTCTTTCTAAGCCCCTGGTACTGAGATTAACCCCTTGTTGCATTGATCCAATAAACCAAACTTTTTTTACTGCTCTTATGTTCTAAGTCTTTGACGGATAGGTTTCAGCAATGTTTCCAAATTGTGAATGTACCAATTAATAGTTTAGGGAAATGTTAAGAATCTTTACCTTTTCCAATATGTGTGCTTCGTTTTAATAAATGGGACTGACTAATTATTACAATCAGCAATTAGTCTTAAAGAGAACTAGAGGGAAAACTTGGGCACTAAGACAAAGCTTTCCCAGGGCTTCCCACCTTTACCTCATGTAGAAATAATGTTTTTCTGATGACTAGTACTCAGGCTGGTAGTAATAATTGCTATTGTATTAAAATTTATAAGCAATGCTTTCTTTTGGACTGATTTAACTTTATTCCAATATGAGGCCTTCGGTGATTTTTTTATTATTTTAATCCCTAATTAGTCGTTAGTTAACATGTTTTCATCTTTCTTTAATGGTGAAACAACAAGAAATGTAATTGCCTACATTTCTGAGGCCTTTTTTTGGATTTATTGGGACTGTGCTTCAGGGAAATGATAACTTACAAAATGCTCCTTGGCTTGGAAAGAGAAGACAGGGCTAGGCAAAATTGGCTCCAGGAATTTAACAGCCTACCAATGCCTCTGGTTTACAGGAGACCATATTCTTTGGCCACGTTTCCCTCCCAGCAGCCCACTGATACTTGAAATGTTGACACACTGTAAGAAGGAGAGCAAGGACAAATAAGACAGTGAAAGATTGTAGCTGAAGTGACCACTGCCGTCATCAGAAACGAGCGCAGTACTGTGACCTGAGAAGCAGCGTATTCTAAGATTACACTGAAATGTAATAAAAATTCAGAATTATGGACTTTGAGTTGAGAAGTGAAATAAGTGAAAGTTTATCAATTTCTTGGTAAGAGGAACTGGAATTAGGAATCTAGAAATGCTCTGGAGCAATCTTGGAGAGAATACATATTTGAAAAAAAGAAGAAGAAGAAAGAGATAAATGTGTGGTTTCTTTCATCCCGTTTACAAAATATTTAGTGCCTATTATGTGCCATGCATGATTCTAAAAACTGAGGATATAATGGTGGGGGGGAGGGGAAGTATTAAGGGATGGCAACAAACCTTAGTATCAAAAAGATGTCTGTAGAATAAACTGATGGTTGTCAGATGGGTGGGGGGTGAAAGGGGAAGGGATTAAGAAGTACAAATTGCCAGTTATAAAAATCAGTCACAGGGATATAAAGTACAGCATAAGGAATATAGTCAATAATATTTTAATAACTATGTATGGTGTCACATGGGTACTAGACTTATCTGGATGGCCACTTCCTAAGTTATATAAATGTCTAATTACTATGTTATACTTGTAAGTCTAATACAGTAGGTCCTTGGGTTACGTCGGAGATCCGTTCCTACGGCGCAAGGTAACGTGATTTTCGCTGTAAGTCGGAACCCACCTACATAAGCACCTACGTCACTCACATGGAGCACAGACACAGCAGTAATGAAGTGAAACAGTAAAAAAAAATTTTTTTAAAGAAAGATAACAATTCCTGACCTTTACTTGTGATAAATAAATAATAAAAAACATAAAGCACACATGTACATACATCAAAATGACGGAACTTTTTTTTAATATAAATAAATGGGAGATGGTGATGTAACCATGAAACGACATACATTGAGTCCGACATAACCTGAGGACTGCCTATATAGTATTAAATGTCAACTGTAATCAACATTTTTTAAAAAAATTACTGATATAAGAATAAAAACACAATCAGAAAAAAAAATCTGGCAAGTCCTAAAGATGATTAAAGGATTAGAAAAACCTAACACATAAAGAAAAGATACCAAGGTGCTTTATCTCTTAAAGGCAAGAAACCAGCCATTGCTCAGTGTAGAACAAGAAAACAAAATGAAACTGTGCTATAATGTAAGAGATTAAGACAAAGGTCTGCTCTCTTGTTAAATGTTGATATGAGTTAAATTAGTATGTTATCAACTCTCCTCTTTTGGAGACTAAAAAGATGTGGTTTAGTTGCATCTATTGGGGACAGTTTGATTGAGACCTAGATGCATCCTTGCCCAAGGGCTGACAGATGGATCAAATGATCTCTCAGCATCCCTTCCAGCCCCACACTTCTGTTTTCCTGTGATTGTTGGACTAGGATGTTAGCTGAGTCAGATTTGCCCTTGCAAGTTAGTGGAGGAGTCAGCTGCTTGAAAGAAAACAGGTAGACTTTTTGTCCCCAAAATAAATGCCTCTCTACCCTTTCCAAATTAAATTATACCATTAAATTATACCATTATTTTCCTTGCATCACAAAGTATTTTTTAGTCTTATAGAGTTCTTAATTGAATACCTAAGTAAAAATAAACTCAACCTTACCTGATAAAAACTTAGCAGCAAACCAAGACTGGAAATGCAGGAAGAGGGAGTCCCAAAGCAGAGAGAAGACAGACATGACTGTACTAACAAACTGCACCTAATTGAAAATGTAGCTTTAGACTTATGCAGAAGATAGCCCTCTCCTCCCTCCCAGCTGAGTTCAGCTATTCATTCTTTTTAAATTAAATTTATTGGGGTAATATTCGTTAATAACATCATACAGGTTTCAGGTGTACAATTTTATAATAAATCATCTGTATATTGCATTGTGTGCTCACCACCCAAAGTCTAGTCTCCTTCCCTCACCATATATTTGACCCCCCCCCTTTATTCTCTTCATCCTCCTCCTACCCACCTTGCCCTTTGGTAACCACCATACTGTTGTCTGTGTCTGTGAGTTTGGGGTTTTTTGTTATTGTTCACTTGTTCCTTTTTGTTACATATTCCACATATGAGTGAAATCACATGGCTCTGGTTCTTTTCCACCTTTCCTGTTTTGCTTAGCATGATGCTCTCAAGACCATCCAAGTTGTTGCAAAATGCAATGTTTCATCCTTTTTTATGGCTGAGTAGTAGTCCCTATTACCAGGTCTTCTTCATCCATCAAAGGACACTTAGGTCGTAAATAATGGTGCAGTGAACATAGGGATACATATATCTTTACGTTTTTAAATTTTTTGAGTTGATATCCAGAAGAAGGCTTGCTAGGTCATTTGGTAACTCCATTCTTAATTTTTTGAGGAACCTCCATAGTTACTGTACCAATTTACATTTTCACCAGAAGTGTACAGGGTTTCCTTTTCTCCATACCCTCTTCAACACTTGTTTGTTTCCTTGTTGATAATAGCCATTCTAACATGTATGAGGTGGTATTTGATTGCAATTTTGATTTGCGTTTCCCTTATAGCTAGTGAAGTTGAACATCTTTTCATATATCCGTTGGCCATCTGTGTCTTCTTGGGAAACATGTCTGCTCATGTCCTCTGCCCATTTTTAAATTGGAATTTTTGTTTTGTTCTGAGTTGTATGAGTTCTTTATATATTTTGGATATCAGTCCCTTGTTGGAGGTATCTTTTGCAAAAATACAAGTCATTCTTTCAATGACTTTGGAATTCCTACCAGTGCAGAGCACTAGACAAAACACTAGGGCACTACAGCAAGCCGCAGACATGGCTCTTGCCTTCCTGCAAAACACTGAACACATGGTAAACACATAGTGAATTACTAAATGAAGCCTACATATACGCAACAGATAACAATTGAATTGCAATGTGCACAAAGCACCATTCTAGGCACTTGGAATGGGGTGGTAACAGAATGGACAAATCCTTTGCCCTCTGGAGGCTACATTCTGGTCAAAGGAAGTTATACAATGAAAGCACAAGGTGTTCTAAGAACTATGACGAGGAAACCTACCCTAGCTGACAAGTCCTCCCTGAGAAAGGGATGTTTCTCTTGGTGAAAGGCATGTGTTGGCGAAAGAGGAGGTACCAAACCTGGAGAGCGTTCCATGTAAAGTTACCAAATGTTGTCAGACTACCACGATTTGCTTGTATAGTAGGATAAAGGGTAATATTTTTATCAGTACTATTCTAATATTTGTGCAATAAATAATTTTAAACATCAAAGTCATACTTATAACTGTTCTCATTTTTACCTTGTAGCTTTAATGTATTGGTCTTTACATTTATAAATTATGATCAAATTATATATGGATATGACATAATTTAGAGAATTCAAAATCAAATAGGAGTCTTACCCTCATGATTCAAGCCCTGAGTCTAATTCCAAAATGTGTTTGATGTTACTGAATGCAAACAAGATAACATGTTTGACACTGTGACATGGATCTTTCCCACCTACACTGAATATGAATTATAGGTTGGTTCCTGCACTACAGGTGGACCTGTGGCAGCCCAGCAGTATCGCCTATGTCTCAGAGGGAACAGTCACTGATGTCCATATTCCCCACAATGGTTCCCGAGCCTTGCTAGCCTTTTTACAGGAAGCCAACATCCCATACAAGTAAGCTTTTTTTTTCATTGTTTAGTCCATTTGTACTAAGTTGAACTGAATTATAGCTGTGTTCAGGTTATTTACTGAGTGCCAATGATGTTGTGTCAGGTACCTTTTATCCAACTGGGAAAACCAACATGAATATAACAATTATATTTACCTTTGAGCTTATTAATGTAATAGTAAAGAGAGAAACCACATTGACATATTTCACCATCACCACCAATGATCAGTATAAACACAGAAGGTGTTTTTTTTTTCCTGTGGGAGGAAAGTAGAGAGGCCTAGCAATGCCTAGAAGGTGAATGAGAAAGCAGGGACAGGAGGAGCTGTTCAGTTAGGCAAAGGATGAGAATCAGGACCTTGCAAACAGAGGAGACAATGCAAGCGAAGGGAAGAAGCAGCATAGTGTATGTGCAGGAAACTGAGGTTTAGTGTTATTAGTGTACAAAGTTCAAATCAGAGAGTAGGAAAAAAATGGTGGAGTCAGAGAAGGTCAGGTTGTGGGAAGAATGATGTTCACCCTTATCCTGAGGGTGGTGCTGCACAGGTGGAGGATGCAAGCAAGGGAGCCACACACACATAACTGGATAGAGACTGCAATCATGGTCCAGGTAAGAGATAGTGAGGACCCGAGTCACGACCAGAGTAGTGGATCAGGAGAGCATTCAATAAAATAGTTCAGAGGCAAAACCTCCTGGACTCCTCACTTGGTTGGATGCAGGTGCAAGAGAAAGAAGTCAAGGATGATGCCAAGCTTTCTAGCTTGGGTGAATGAGCAGCCAGATTCATACAGATTTGGATATTTTCAGGTTTTTTTTAAGGACTAGTTATACTAGCAGGAATAGAGTACTTTCAAGGTAGTCACGGGAGTCAAAGAAGAAATGAAAGACTTTTGAGAGAGGAAACATCAGTGGTACCAAGTACTGCAGTGATACCAGCAAGAAAAGGATTGAACAGTTTCCTCTGGATTTGGCAATAGAAACTGCGTTGGTAACTCTAATGGAGGAATTAGATTGTCAGGAGCAGGACACAGAGAAGCAAACAGGAGGTGAGAACATGGAGCAGCAGAGAAGATGACTGCTCTTGGGAGGTAACATAATGAGAGAAGCAGAGAATGAGGAGTGACTACAGGGAGATGCAACATCAATGACTGCTTGAGTTTGGAATTTGTTTGGGGAGGGGGCAATTTGGGCTTGTCTATAGGCTGAGGGGAAGGGCCAGTAGGAAAGAAGATGTTGATGAGACCAGAAAGAATGCAAAAGTGGAGATGTGAGTTTAAATAGTGGGAAGGAACTTCACTCTCTAAGACTGAAGACATAAGTGTGGGACTAGTTGAAAGAGATAACGGATGGCTAACTTTTCTGAAGTAAGAAGCAAAGTTATCTTCTGAAAGTGAAGAAACAAGGGTTGAAGAATGTTCCAAGAGAAAAACTAAGGTAGGAACCAAGAAAAGAAGTTGTTGCAGAGACTAGAGCTTATAGCCCTGATGAAGAGTTGAGATTTCATTGAGCAGGACCACAGAAAGATCAAAGTCACAAGGAAGGTCACAAGGAAGTTGACATTCCTAGCGAGATACTAGCTCAAGTATTAATCCATGGGGTCTAATCTGGATAGGAAAGGAGAAGAATTTGGGAGGAATGATGGGGGGCGGGGGTGACAGGAGAATCAAGGAAGGGGTGAAGATTTTATATTTAAAATAGGTGTAGTGTGACTGAGGACAACAAACTAAACGGAAGTTTTGACAGTGTTGGCTATTGGATATTAAGAAATCTAGGATAGAACATTTATGGCTGGTGACAAGATTCAGGGGGTAACCATGGGGCAGATGGCTGAAATGTAGTAGAGATCATTGAGGCTGAAGTGGTCAAGAATGGGTGGATAAATCACCAGAGAATCATCATAGCACTCTTAAATCTCCTTGACTGATGGCAAGATTCGAGGTGGAGAGATATAACAGGACGGCAATATCAGGAAGTATCCAGGAGTTAGAGAAAAGCAACTAGGAATGGTGTGATGCTGAAGAAAGGATAAGCTTTTCCTGGAAGTTAGAAGATTAAGGGGGAAGGAGAAATGGGGGTCCAGGAGAATGCTGACCTCCCTCCCTTCTGGCCCCATGTTAAGTGGAGTGGAAGAAGAGAAAGCCATAAAAGAACCTGCATCCTTAAGAGCATCCAATCTCTATTAGGGCAAGAATATAAGAGAGAGTTCTCTGAAGAGACTGGAGGATGTAGGAAGCCTATTTACAGTGAACGAGGGATTCCAGAAAGTACACTGAAAAAGGAAGTGGAGGGATGGAGAGTCAATGCAGGATCTGAAGTGCAAGGTAGTAATGAGACTAGACTGAGTGACTTACCTTTTGTTTGGAATCCTAGGATTTCGGGATTGACAAGCATGATTGTCAATAACTAGCCTCAGCTACCCCTAACTTTTTAAATCCTCACTTGAGGATATGTTCCCATTGATTTTTAGAGAGAGAGTGGAAGAAAGAGAGAAATATCAATGTCAGAAAAACACATCGATTGGTTGCCTCCTGCACGAGCCCTGACCAGGGCCCAGGCTGTGGAGGAGCCTGCAACCAAGGTACGTGCCCTTGACCAGACTCAAACCTGGGACCGTACAATCCACAGGCCGACACTGTATCCATTGAGCCAAACTGGCTAGGGCAACCCGCAATTTTTTTAGCAAGTTTTGGTACTGACAAAACAAGCACAAAGATATGTAATGATGTCTGGCGAGGCCTGGGATGGGCTCGTGGCTCTTGGGATTACTGGTGAAGGCCCTAGTCTCTGTGAAAGGCTGGACCAAGGATGCAACATGACAGTGACATCCCTCCATGGTCCACACAAATACGTAATTCCCTGCCAGAAAAATAATTGCAGCCTTATTAAAGTACTGATTTGCTTTTTCAGTAAGATATTTTATCTGTGCTTCTACAGCAGGGTAGAGGCACAGCTGTGCATAAAACTATTGTTCATATTGAACATATTTTAGTCATTGCTATAGCTTTGATTTTCTGAATGCCTAGCAGGAAAGAGCTTGGTAATTATATCTATAGGTGCTCAGTAACAACTCACATGCTTCGTTAATTATTATTCGGTAGAAAAGAATATACCAGTTATTTTAACAAGTCTCTATTTTCTGCTATTAAATATAGGTCATGCGGAGCTAACAGAATAAAAATCACACTGTATGTCACGAAGGATAGAGTCTAAAAATGAGTGTTTTAAACCAGTTGTCTCCTCATGGAGAATAATCATTTAGAATTATTCATTTTGTTGGTTGCAAGATAATAACACATAAGAGTATATTAAATTCCACAGGACCAGTAGGTAGAGATCATTTTAATGGACTTTTATTATTGGAGCCTGGAGTATTTTCAAAATATTATCATTTACTCTGTACAACTATACATAATGTATAGCTACAGTCAGCTTTAAAGCAGAGATAATGTGACCCCATGTGTCTGGCCCCTAGGTGATCAATTCCTCTTAATGACATGACAAATAAGATGACTCATTTTGCCATAAAAAACTGTCATTCATTTTATAAATTAAATACCTATAAAAATTGGTCATGGAACTTCAAATTTGGAGTTCCCTCTTCTACCCTGGAAGCTTGGGGGAGGTGGTTTTATACTAAGTGATGACATCACTCTGAAAGTTCTTCATAGGAGCTCGTTCAATTGGTAGGAATAATAATTAGCTGTAAAGAACTAAGAAAACACAACAGCTACAAAAACCACTTCTGGGCTCCATTTCCTGGCCTTCTCATCAATCCATTAGTTTCCAATAAACTACTTGATGAGGAAAATGGGCTAGACTTGTGGTCGGCAAACTGCAGCTTGCGAGCCACATGCGGCTCTTTGGCCCCTTGAGTGTGGCTCTTCCACAAAATACCACGTGCGGGCACGCGTACAATGTGATTGAAACTTCATGGCCCATGCGCAGAAGTCGGTTTTCGGCCTGGGTGAGTCTATTTTGAAGAAGTGCTGTTGATATTTGGCTCTGTTGACTAATGAGTTTGCCGACCACTGGGCTAGACCTTCCACATCACAATTATTTTCATTTTCGGGTTGGTCTCTTTGGGCCTGTATTAAGGTGCAGGCTAAGTTATTGAAAATAGCAGTGTGATTGTATTTACTCACACAATCATTCAGTTTGTATAACTACTCAATCAATGGTAGTCATTATTACTATTATTATTAGGGAACATATGCTTATAATTTTACATTTTATATTTATTACACCATTTATTTAACAGCTTTTATTTCCTGAAAAAATAACATTTCCCAAAATTTGGCATTCTTAGAAATATCAGTATTTGCTGCCCTCACTTCATAGATGTATGATTATCTTTTTATGTTGCCTGATTTTTATATTATCTCCATTTAATTTTCATCATGTCTATATTACAAATCCAGGATCCTCATAGAAGATCTTCAGAAAGTACTGGAAAAGGGAAGCAGTTCACAAGCTCAGAGAAATCGAAGATCCCTCTCTGAATATAATTATGAAGTTTATCACTCCTTAGAAGACGTATGTAATCAAAGGGGCTTTCCTTACTTTTTTGAAAATTAATTTTTATCAGATCTAAGGATTGAGAATGAAGCACTAAGAGGCAGGGGCTATATGAAGAGTATGTATAGCTCTTTATATTGCCTAGGCACCTCAGTCTTCCACTAAGCCTTTAACTAACTGCTATATAAGAAGTAGCAAAATAATTTTAATTCATTTGCTCCACCCACCCCTCCATAGGACATGGGAAATGCATTGGAAAAGTGAAGTAACGTTGTTATAACTGGTTATAATGGCCTTAACTTAAAAGTCGGGTGCACTTATTGATGGAAGGTAGTGTAAGCTCGAGTTTGAGAGCAATGATTTGGTTGAGGGATAAGAGTGAACTTTGCTTCTTACCCCACACCCTCTGCAAATCTGTGACCTCCCAAAGGCCAAGCTTCATCTGTGGCACCTCAAGGCTTATTACTGTGCTGTTATTTATTCTACCTGGAAAACACAACAACCTCATTCCCACTACCATATCCTTTACTGTTCATCTGGACCACAAATCTCAGCTTAAGCAGGAAGACAGCTGTTTCTACTGAATCAGAACTCCACTCCCACCTCCAACCCCCAGCATATTGCATGCACCATAGCACGTGGATGTATGATTATTTGATCAATGCCTTTCTCTCTAATAAGCTGCAAGTTCCATGAGGACAGGCCATTTCTCGTTCACCACTGTATCCCTAGTGGCAAGCAAATAGATCTCCAAACAGATAGTTGAGGACAGAATGAATAAATGAGTGCACATATATATTTTCCATCCTTCTCTGAATTGAGCAAAAGAATGCCAGGCATAGAATTCGTGAGATCCTGTTACATATTCTTAAGAGAATTTTTGGTTCTCTTGATAATGACTTTCCTTTCAAGAGTATTTCTATATATTTTATGTTACAATAAGGAAAGGCTTTAGATAACTTGGCACATGGATGTGCTATTAACATGAACTAGAAAAAAGTCAAAATTTTAAAATATATCTATATAGATATGTATGTATACATACATACATAGACTCATTAGACTAAGAAAAAAATATAGTACCTTCCAAAATATTTTTTCAGCACAGATTCCTTACATCATGGAATAGTGGGACATTTTTGTGTGACTTCCTTACTCCTCATGGAGCTTTTAAGTCAGAAATGTCACCCACCTTTCTAAGTGCCTTATTCATCCATCTCCAGTGTACCTTCTGACGACAGGTAAGTGTATGTGAAAGGATTGATGCAAATGCATCACTATAACTGGGGAATTTATTTAGATTATGCCCTCCAACATGTGGCTTGATAGAATACCATTAAATGCAAAAAATAATGTCTTTTTCTCAGCATCTTCTGTTCAGTAGCAAATTATAATATATTGCACTTCAATGAACACTTTCAAGTTCTCTGAATGATTTTCTTGAAAGCAATTTCCTTTTTTTACTCTTAAATAGTTGGGAGGAAATGAAAATAAATTTTGATTTTCAAAAGGAACCCAGAACACATTAATTTTTTTAAAAACTCTGCCATCAAGATATTAATGATAAATGATAGTAGAAGGTATGCTTTAAAGAGGGAGCAATATACAGACATGAAGCTACTATTTGTAAAGGCAGAAAATAAAAGGCAACTTTAAATATCCCGAAGAAATTTAAAATAGAAATTTTGGCTTTTGTTCAATTTTATATTCCATGTGTGTTCTTTGTGTTCTGGGACCTATTGTTGTCTTGTTACCTTCTCTTCTCTAAAAGCTCTATAATTATGGGAGTCTGACATGGTCTTTATTTATTTGCTTTTAGATTCAAAATTGGATGCATCATCTGAATAATACTCATTCAGGCCTCGTTCACATGTTCTCTATTGGAAAATCATACGAGGGAAGATCTCTCCTTGTTTTAAAGGTAAAAGCAGGAAATTGTTACGTAAAAAACAGGAAATTATTAACTGAAATATTTACTAAACATTAACTTTGATCTATGGGGAAAAGAAGTGAAATGGTCTGTCATAGTGTCTAATATTTAACATTATCTGATAATTTCAGAAAACATGTTCCCTTAGGTTTTCAAGCCATACTGAATTTTTGCCATTGAGTATACCAGAGAATAATAACATATTAATGCACCTAAAAAATGATGACCTTCAAAATGATTTGCGAGTTGGTGCTACATAAAAGTTATGCGTCATTCCCAGCCCTTCACCTTATATTCTCTTCTACAGCTCTCTACCTCTTCACATGCGAACACTCAAAAAGATTTAAAATAAAACATCACTCTCTACTTTCTCCCCGTCTATTGAGACCTTGACTCACTGGCCTTCGTGCCCCCACCACTCTTCTAAATCTTCACTTGCCACGGTCAACGATGACCACTAGGTTTTCCTCCCATCTTTTTGACCATTCTCTCAGGTTCCTCATTCCTATCCTTTCCTTACATTCTGGCAATCCCAGGATTCTATCCTCAAATGTGCTCTCGTTCTACAAACAATCTCCGGATGGGCATATCCACCCCCCGGCTTCAACAATCATTCTAGACTCTGCTATTCAGTGGCGTCCACTGTCTGGAGCTTTAAAATGCATCCATCATTGCCTGCTTTACATTCTCATCTCAATAGTCACAAAAGCACCTCCCCTCAGAATGGCACCACGCTGCTCCCAGTCTAAAAACATGAGCATCAGCCTAAATTCCTCTCCTTGATTTTTACCACCAAGAACATTCATTCTTCCTTCTAAATATCGTTTGGAGCTGCACCAACCTCCTCTTTTGTCCTCACTTATTGCTGGATCTGTTCCCCCTGGACTATCCCATAATGGCCTCAGTACTGAACTTCCTTTTGAAACCAGCCTCTACTCTCTCATCCTCTAACCCACCTCCACACTGCTGTCAGTGTGGGCTCTCGCTCTCTCCCCGACTCCAAACATACTTGTCCCGTGGGATTCAGGATGAGCCAGCTCCATCTGCCATTCCTCCTACCTGGGAAGCAGTTCCTCAGATATGGTGTGCTTAGATTCTCTTCCACGCTTCTGATGCCTCTTCTAACTTGTCTGCCAGACAAAGCTTCCAGGCTTCCTCAAGTACTCAAATGCTCAAGAAGGCTCCTCTTTTGAGAAACCTTCTTTTCTTTTTCAGGAAAAAATTAGACATGTTCCCAAATTAACTTACACATTTTCACATCATACTGATTAATTGCTCGCATGTCTGCCCACCCCACTCGCATATAAATCCTGTCTTTCATCTTTGAATCTCTGGTGCTGAGTAGGGTGTCTGACATTGAAAAGGATTTCCTGAGTGAACTAATGAATAAATGAAAATTAGAGCCCCTATAAATATAAAGTCAAGAGCCACCTATCGATTACTGGGTTAGAAACCATTATAAGGTAATATTAATAATCTATACTAATAAAAGAAAGGGTAATATGCTAATTAGACCAGGAGACCTTCCAGACATCCTTCCAGACAAAGCCATGGTGGCAGGGCCAGGCAGAGGTGGTTAGGGGCGATCAGGCCAAGAGGGGAGGGCAGTTGGGGGTGATCAGGCTGGCGAGGGGGGGCAGTTGGGGCGATCAGGCCAGCAGGCAGAGTGGTTAGAGGCAATCAGGCAGGTGAACAGTTAGGAGCCAGCAATCCCAGATTACAAGAGGGATGTCCAACTGCCAGTTTAGGCCCGATCCCACAGGGATCCCCTGAGGGGTCCCAGATTGGAGATGGTGCAGGCCGGGCTGAGGGAAACCCTTGCCCCCATGCACAAATTTCATGCACCAGGCCACTAGTAGGATTATAAAGAAAAATCTGTCACTTAATTCTATAATTCAAGTTGTTTTGTGTTTTCCCATTTTGCATTTAAATAAAATTTTACTTTGTCCACCTATAAAACATAGCTAATTCTTTACAAAAGACTCCTTGGGAATATTTCTGATTTCTTAGATGGTGGCGAGGTGGAAAATTTGGCTTTTTACTTAACAGTCACATATTCTATTAAAATAGAGAAGCAAATCTCTCTAAGGAATTGCTATTTTCCTTGTGTATTTTCCAGTTATTTGATTTGTAATAAGGGCAATAAATGTGTTTCTGCGTAAACAAATCTGGACTTCTGAAATAGGAAATCACTTTCTGTTTTTTATGGGTTATCAAATGAAACCTTATTAAATTATGCTGGTAAGTAAATCCAAAAATAACAGCCTGCATTGGTTACTGTGAATTCTCTTGTTTTCAGCTGGGCAGGCGATCCCGAGCTTACAAACGAGCTGTCTGGATAGACTGTGGTATTCATGCAAGAGAATGGATTGGTCCTGCCTTTTGTCAGTGGTTTGTAAAAGAAGTAAGTTAAAACCCTTTACACAATGCCCATTTCAGCTAGTCGGTGGTTCCCACGTGTTTTTATTCTGTTCAAGGAACAAAACTGGGAATGTAAAGCCAGTGATACCTGCTTGAATGAGAACGTATTGATTCTGAGTCGCTTTCATGTTTATGAAGACCTCTCCTAACCCTGGCTCAGCTTATCCTCACCTCTGCCCTTAGAGGTTGGAATTACCAACCCTCATGATAGAGAAGGAACCTGGGATTCAGAGCATTTATGAATTTGTAACAAATTAGAAACCAGCCATAGTAGCTGATATATGGCAAAAGGCTAAAAATCAAATTTATGGTGTTCCAGAGAGGATTCTTATATAATATTCAACATCATTTGTCTTCTCTGTCAAAATGATCTCACACATGCTATAACAATAAAGAGATGAGCAAGCGATTGCATTTTCCCCTCCTGCTATGGATCTGTAATTTAGATACCAAAGACCTTTAACATCTGTGAATTTAACATTCTCAGTATTTTTCATCGACTCTAATTATTAATGACTCATAGTGATTTCTCACTTTCCAAAGGCTTCTGTATGTTAGTGTATCTAGCGGGTCCCTATCCCAAGAATGGGCAGTTTTATGAACCAACATCTTAACATGTTTGAATATTTTTCTATCCTTGTCAAGAATGTAATGACTTTTGTGGTTGTTGTTTTTTAATCTTGACTTTTTATTTTTTTTAAAGACTCTTGAAAGAAAACCAACCACTATAGTACTGGTGCTGAAAATAAAAAAGACTAAGGAAATGAAGGTTCTAAGCCAAAAAGTAACCTTACAAATATGTTTAGCCCTGTACTTACAGAGAACCATTAAGGATACCAAAGATATTTTAAAACTTCAGTCTTATAGGGAAATTATATGCTCTAGTGTGAGGTGTGGGATTTTGAGGACTCTCCTAGCCCTGTAAAATGTCAAGAAAGTACTGAATTTGTTAAATCTGCCACTACCAAAACCCACAAAAGTATCCTTAATTTTATAAATATTATGTAATAATAAAATTTTCAAACTATTCCCGCTCAGTGTTTTGAGTAATTCATATTCTTTAAAAGACCATTCAACCCTAATAGGACAAACGCAAAATCAAATAAGAAATTAACTCTATTACCTTGTATTAAATATCCATTGTATAGATAAACATACTGTCTGCTTTCTCAAGTTTCAAAAAGAGGAGAAATTAGTTAAGTACAGAACACCTATTGCAGGGGTCCTCAAACTACGGCCCGCGGGCCACATGCGGCCCGCCGAAAACATTTATCTGGCCCGCTGGGTGTTTTTGCTGCCGCTGCCTGTCCTGCTTAGCAGCCGACTCGTCCTGGGCCCGCAGTGCGCATGTGTGGAATGTCTGAGGGACAGTGAACTGGCCCCCTGTTTAAAAAGTTTGAGGACCTCTGCCCTATTGTTTATAGACCACGGTCCTGTGTGCGATTGAAGGACATAAGAAATTTACCTCACCCCGCATGTGCAGCCTCTTTCTAGAACACCTAACCTTATTTTATATGTTCATGTTCTCTTTTTTGCACCAAGGGTAGAGACTCTATCTTGTTCAGTGCCAAATCCCCAGCACTCAGAGCAACACCTGGCACTTAATAGATTTTCAAACATTTGTTAATGAATGGGAATAATGAGAATCCAGTGGTAATGAAGTGGAAAGATTTCTGAGAGAGGACTTGTCAAATCATCTCATGTAATATGAATGGTACCACCTGGATTTTTGCAAGGCACAATCTGTATAGTCATAGGTAGCAGCTCCATAACTCAAGCTACATGTCCCAGGAAGAGGAAGACACCGTGTAACCACAGAAAAAGAAAGAGGCACATATAATGACTGCCCATTGAAAATAGTTGACATTGGAGCAAAAGCAAGAAGAATCCATGAAAGTGATATGCCATTTCACCAAAGATAACTAAAGAAAGGCTTTTCCCTTCACCAGGCCATCTTCAAGCACGCAGGTATGTCTAGCCATTTTTGTGCCTCTGCTACCCTTTCCATACTCCCTCACTCTCCTGTTTATGGCTGTTGCTTGCCCCTCCACTTTATCACTTCCATTTTCCATGAGTCAGGAGAGCAAACAGAAATGGGGGGGGGGGGCGGGAAGGCCTATGGGGTTGCTTGTCTCAGTGGCCTGGTGGAAGCATTGGGGCTGCCAACGTGTGACAGCCACATGGTAGCAGTGTCAGGAGTGGGTCGACATTACAGGCTTATAAGAAATATTCTCATTTGCTTTAAAGCCCCCATTTCCACTAATGGTGGTGTTGGGGGCAGAGGGAATAGGGACTTTAAAGATTTAAATAACCTTAAACCTGCCTAGCATTGGAACATCATCTCTTACACACAAACTCAGTCCTTTGTTAAATCCTCAGCCTCCCAAAGAAGCCAGGAGGTGGCTGGTCCAAGAGGGGTACCAAGCAGCATCCCTTCCACAAGTGACCTCCCCTTCACCACAGAAGTCCCAAGACCAGCTCCCAGGCTCTCAACTCATCTGATTTTCATGCCCCCTCTGGGGACACCAGGGAAACTCTGGGCTCCCTCTCTGCCTCCCAGGAGACTGTAGGATGCTAATGTCTGTCCCCCTCTTGGGTGACACATGCCACACTTCTGATTGTCCCCTCCTCTCATGCAGGAACACATGACGGGGTGTCCTTTCAGACACGGAGTAAACAGGACAGAGGTCCTCTTTCCTTACATTTTTTTCTCCAATCGGTCAGTGGTCTCTACCATGTCTTGATTTCCCTGGAGTTCCAACCCCAAGAGACGACGGTACTGTCAGAAGCCAAAAGATTGGCTTCCTGCCTTTGCTTTCTCTCTTTCTTGAGTGCTTTAACCCAAACTCAACAGCTTAAAACAACAGATAGTTTCTGTGGGTCAGCAATCCAGGCACAGGACAGCCAAATGCCTCTTGCTCAGGATCCCTCACAGGGCTGCAGGGCTTCATTCATCAGAGGCTTGTGTGGGGGAGGATCTGCTTCTGAGCTCACGCACGTGGCTGCTGGCAGCCTCAGGTCCTCCCTGGCTGTAAGCCAGAGACTTCATGTGGGCCTCTCCACAGGGCAGCCTCTCCTCAGAGCAGAAGAGGGAGAGAGCAGGCCCAAGCTCGAAACCATAGTCTCTTGGTAACCTAATCTCAGAAGTGACATCCCATCACTTTGGCATGTTCTGTCCATTAGAAGTGAATCTCTAGGTCCAGGCCGTATTCAAGGGGAAGACATTACACAAGAGCTTAAGGACCAAGAGTGGGGAATCATTGGAGACTAGCTGAGCGGCTGCCTACCGTATCTTGTGGCACTTTCCCCACAGCCACCACTGTAATGTTTATATCCTTATTCAGGTGTGAACTGGAAGAAAACGTACCAAGTGCTCTGGGATTCTGATAGAACAGCAAATTGCATAGAGGTCACCAGCACACATTTAACCGTCAGGCAGCCCTGGGTTGGAACGCCAGCTCTGCCATTTACCAGCTGTGTGATCTTGGTGGGCAAGTCATTTAACCTCTCTGAACCTAATAATTATAATATGTGACACACTGGGTTACTGGGAAGATTAAATGATATAATGCATGTAAAAGACTTAAGAAAGTGCTTGGCATGTAATAAGCACTTAATAAACTCAATGTTTAAGTGGTAATTTCTGCAATTTGGTATTTTTAAATAATCAACAGCAAGAGAATCATTAGAAAGGAAATCAGGCCCACCGGTGTTACTCAGTGGTTGAGCATTGGTCCATGAAACAAAAGGTCACCAGTTCAACTCCCGGCCAGGGCACATGCCAGGGTTGCAGGTTGGATCCCCAGTAAAGGGCATGTGGAAGGCAGCTGATGGCTGTTTCTATCTCTCTATCCTTCTCCCTTCCTCCATCTCTAAAAATCAATAAACCATATTTCAACAACAGCATCAACAACAAAAATCAGCAAGGATATGAAAGAACTCAACAACACCATCAACCAACAGAATCTAAACAACATTTATAGATCACTCCATCCAGCAACAGCAGAATACACATGCTTTTTAAGTGTCTATGGAACATATATCATATACCATATCCTGGGCCAAAAAACAGGATCTGCACAAATTTAAAAGAATTAAAGTTATACAGACTGTGTTCTCCGACCACAATGAAGTCAATCTAGAAATCTATAGCAGAAAAATCACAGGAAAACCTCCACACACTTGGAAATTAACATGCTTTAAAATTGTCTATGGGTCAAAGATAAAAATCTCAAAAAAATTGAACATATTAAACTGAAGGAAAATTAAAATATAACATATCAATATTTCTGGGACACAGTTAAAGCAATGCTGAGAGAAAAAATATGATGGCATTTAATGCATATATTAGAAAAGAAGGAAAATCTCAAAATAATAATCTCACCTCAAGAAACTAGAAAATGAAACCAAAGCAAACAGAAGTAAAATATTGATAAAAGAAGAAATCAATGAAATTGAAAACAAAATCAGGAAAAAAAATCAGTGAAACAAAGAACTGGTTCTTGAAATTAATAGAACTCTAGCAAGGAAGACAAAGACAAAAGATAGAAGATACAAATTACCAATATTAGAAATGAAACGGGATATCACTGCAGACCCTGCTGATATCAAAAGGATAATAGGACAATACTATGAATAACTCTGCACATATAAATTTGACAACTTACACAAAATGAATCAATTGAAAAACTGCAACTCATTCATTATGAAACAGATAATTTGAATATCCCTATTACTATTAAGGATATTAAATTCATTATTTTAAAATTAAAAGAAATCCTTTGACCCAGATTGTTTCACTGAAGAATTCAACCAAATGTTCAAAGAAATTTAACACCAGTTCTCCATGATTTCTTTTAGAAAATAGAAGAGGAAATAACACTTTCAATTCATCTTACAAAGCTAGTAATTGCCCTGATACCAAAATCAATCAGAGAGTAGGGGGAAAAAAGAAAACTAGAGAACAGTATCTTTCATGAAAAT